TATTAGACAATGGTGTTCCATTGGAGGCTGATGTTAGTAAATGGAGTGCATTCTATTGTGACAATATCACTGATGTATGTGGATATGGAGTGTCTATTGATATAGTACAAGGACCTCATTTACTAGTACACACTGACACTACCTGTTCATTCAGTGCAGTATTGTTTGGTTGGGGAGAGCAGAAAGGATATGCCTATCCTGCTGGGTTTGGAATGAGACCTATTGCAGGTGAGATTCTGTTTAAAGTAACTTTATTATCATCATTTTTAGAAACATTTTATTCCATTGCTGCTGTTCCCTCGTGTGAAGAGCTACTGGTTGATATCACAGTGTATAGATCTGGTGACCTCTCACAGACCAGCCATATTGGAGTTATGATTAATGGTAACAGTATTATGTACATGTACTTGGAATGTTATCATAATTATCTGTGATGAATGTAAGATTATTCTTATTTTAGGTGATAATGAAAACATTCAAAATGTTTCATTTTCCACTGATGAATCATCTCAAATACTACCAGTGCCAGTTAATATGACAAACTTACAAGATGAAGAAATTGTTATTAAACTAATAAAATCTGATGAAGTTCATTTAGGGTCTCCATCCTCATTACTAATCACTGTTAATGATAATGGTACAATTGAAGGTATGTGTACATGTATTAATATTTATTGGGGCGAGCAAAAGCGAGCCCCACATAATCGAGTCGAGTATGTCTGTTTGTTTGTTTGTTTGTTTGTACACGTACGTCACTCCTATTTATGCATCTATAAAAAATAATAATCAAACATTTTAAAATGATATTTTGATAATTACGGTACCACGTGCAAAAACAAAGAGCAACTTCAGTAATCACTGGACGAGAGGAGTTCAAGAGTCAAAAAACAAGACTTAGAGAAGCTGAAGCTTAAAGCAAGAAGATGCTCGTGAAGCTCGTCGACTTCTTCGTAACGAGTGTGAGATGGAGCAAGACTGAGAGGAGGAGAAAAGAGCGAGGAGGTCCAATAGAAATGCTAGAGATAGGTCTTTTCGCACCCAAATACAAAAATTGGAGTCTCCTTCTGACCAACTATCTTCCATCCTAGATCTATATAACTGCAGAGATTCTTCACTCAAAGCTAGAAGCTATGAAATTCCTTCCATGCAAATTCTGCATTAGTGCATTGACATAAACATTCAACATTTAATAGCCACTACATCATTGTCTATATAAACATTGTATATTGCTAATTGAAATGTTAATCGTTTTGCTTGCTCCTTAATGTTTTACATTCGCCTAGTTAATAACTTATTTTAGTAAATTCCAGTGTAGCTGTTACTCCAACCCATTGTACAATGACCAGTGATACCAATACACCAACTGAAGTATATTCATCATCATATATTAATAATGAAGAATATACCAGCTCATTAATATTGACCGGTATCAGTAGTACAGGTAATGTACATGTACATGTGTATTAATTATAATTGTGTTTATTTGCTAGTAATATCAACAACAATTGAACCCTCTTCATCTCCAGTCAGTGTTGGTCTATCATTAATAATAACAACAGTAATGATTGGATTAACTACAGTATTGTTCATGATATCAATAATAATACTAGCCACACTCTCAGTATATGCACTGTATCAGTAAGTACAACTACATGTATTGATGTGATGATGTAATGTTTATTTATAGTAACAAGGCAATGGCTAAAAATAGCAACAGGTACAGTATATATATATAAGATAACAAGGAAAGTTTATATTTAATTGTTTTAGAGGAATTGATAACGCCATGTATGGAGTACATGAACCACCACAAGCAAAGAAATAAATAATTAATTAATATCAATAATTAATTAACAATTGTTTATTATTAATGATAATAATTATTATTACTATTAATTGATTGGTTACTTTATATTCCTTCAATAGCTTTATTAATGTCAGTGTTAGTCCAGTCATCATTAACATTCTCCAGGTGATTGTCAAAGTCAATCAGTTTCTTATAGACTCCGTTGAATATCAGTTTCTTAACAGCTGGTATGGTTTGATCACCATTGATCACTGACCTAGTGAGAGAGAGGGAGAGAATGAGCTGATGGTATTCAGTTACTTACAATTCTTTCTGTTCTCTCCAGACACCACTGGAAGCATCGGAACAAGTAAACATCTATTAATAATAATAATAATAATAAAATAAATAAATAATAGTGAAGTTAATGACAGACCTTTAATGATAATGAATCATCCTGCTGCTGTAATACAGTGTCATTACAAACCTACAGAATTAAATGATAATCAATAAATAAAAAGTGGACATACAAAATAGCCACAATAACAATACATATACATGTTCTTCTGTAGCATAGAAAGTTTGAGCTGATTCCAATCAAAATTAGTTTCTTTAGAACTTTGAAGTTTTCTCAAAAATCGGGTCAAAGTCCCTGTACTATAGTACAGGGATTTTGGCTAAATTTTGACAAAAATAAAAAGTAGAGAATTCTCAATTTTTATTACATTTCCTAATACATATCCATGTTTTTATGCTATGTAGAAAGTATGAGCAAATGCTGATCAAGTTTGGATTTTTTATGAATTTTTAAAGTTCCTCAAAAATCAGGCCAACGTCCCTGTATTATCATAGTATGGGGGCTTTGATCAAATTTTGCCAAAAATAAAAAGTAGAGAATTCTCCATTTTCATAATTTTTTCTGATACATATACATGTACTTATGTTGCATAGAAAGTTTGAGCAGATTCTAATTAAAATTTTGAAAGCTTGAGCCAATTAAATGGTCTTTAAAAGTACTGATTATTAATAACTATAATAATCATAAATTAATAACTAACCATTAAAATACATGAAGTGTCACAGTTGGTTGATATTCTCTTTCCAATGCAAGCAGCTGTTTCATTAATACTACAATGAC